ATATTATAAGATTTGGAAGAGTTTATAAATAATTAGTTAGCAAGTTAACTTATTAACTCGATATTATAGAAGATCAGTTAAAAAGGGCATTTACCTTTGAAGGAACCGGCAATTATGACGAAAAGTACAACAGAAAGATTCACCAGAGTGAATATATTATTCGCCATTGAGGATTCCTTAGCTCCGAAAGCAAGAGCGGCTAGGAAGAGAATTGTATATTGCTTCACCTGTTTTTACTATTATCAAGCAATTGTGTAACGAGCCAATGAATTATTAATACAGAATATATGAGTATTTGTGTTACGAAATTCACCTGTTTTTACTATTTTATATCAAGCAATTGTGTAACGAACCAATGAATTATTAATGCAGAGTATATATCAGCATTTGTGTTACGAGATACGCGTTTCAATCAGCTTTATCAGAACTATTTTATCCAATAAAACGCGCGAGATTTGATTCGTTGAAAATTAAAAAAAAATTCTCTTATCACCTGAGAATATTAGAGTGACGGCGAGTGCGAAAAAATCCGGATATGACGACAGACTGTCAACATTGATAGGCATCACCGATTCGAAGGAGTTTTTCATGCTGTCGTTGAAGAGCACGTCGACGTATGTGCTGAGAGCGCGCACCACGCTGGCCGAACCGATCACGTATTCTAGAATCAGGGTCCAACCCATGAGAAACGCCACGAACTCGCCCATTGTCACGTAGCTGTAAATATACGCGGATCCGGCGCGGGGCACCCGCGCACCGAATTCGGCATAACAGAGACCTGTGAGAAGAATACCACAAAATTTAGAAATAATACTGCGAAAATACTGCGCCTTCGCAACATTTTTATCGACCAAATGTGTGCGTTTTCTATTCACAAATTTGCAAACTCTTTATCATGTGTGATAGTGCGCGGATGAAATGTAAACTAATACCTTGAAATAAATAACACTTTGTTATTTTTAACTACCATGTTTATGGAAATTTATTTAAAAATTTTAACACAAAACAGTGTCAAGAGACGATACTGTCTCGCGCCAAGTGTACGCGCGAGCAACGCACAAGCGGCGAGACCTCTCTGATTATTAACTCCATTGGTTTAGTCAAATTAACATTGTTTTAATTAAATTAACATATTGAGTAGGAGCAGTGGCGACCCATCTAAAAATGACTTAGTATATCAGTTTTCATCAGTTGCTTAAAGTCACAATAAGTAAACTTTCTTTCTCTGCTTCATCATAATTTTATATCATATAATTTTACATACTTTTAATATATAATATAACTATAATTCTTTAAAGAATGTACTAGTTTGACAAAAAAATTTATATTATTATATCTGTCACACAAAATTGAAGGCAAAATCATGATTGACAAATTAGTTTCAAAGCCTATTCTAATAGATAAAAGCATTATAGTTTTTTCCAATTAATATAACGTGAATCGGTATATAAGCTTTACTTCATCTAAATTTATTTTAGCAAAAATGTTAAAGAGATAGACAGATACCACTTGAATAATATGTTTATGATAATCGCATTCCGCGCTTATTAATCATCATTATCATTATAAATCGATACTTATCAGTACGCGAAACGACTAATCATGAATGTTATCTTAAAATTATCGATTAATTGTC